CTCCAGCTGGCCTGGAACTCACTATGTAGACCAGGCTGGCCTTGAACTCACAGAGATCTGCCTACCTCTGCCTCCCGAGTGCTGGGACTACAGGTGTGTGCCACCACGCCCGGCTAGTTGTCAATATTTAATGTAAGAGTTTCATAAAAATTTGAATTTCAAAATCTTTTATCAAATTTCTTGATACATTTTAAGGTTATCCCTTAGCTTGAATTTTTGTGGCATCTGTTGACCACAAGAGTGGTTTTTAGTTGGGCATGTACTCTTAGTTTGTCACAAACCCATGTGGCTTCTTTTACCCATTTTTCTTTGCAGCCAGTCTTCTGTGGACCCTCCCTCTCCTGCCAGTCTTTTTTCACCTTTCAGTATATACCACCTATGTTAAAGAATAATTTACAGTGCTGATGGGCATGCAGGAGGATGAGAACTCTTTCCAATGTCTATCAAAACTGAAAATGATTATGCTTATTTTTACAGATTTAGCAGTTTAAAAATTTAGAAACATAAAATTTAAGAGTACAGACTTAGATCCTGGAGTGATGGCTCAGTGGTTAAGGGCACTAGCTGCTCTTCCAGATTAGGGTTTGGTTCCTAGCACCCACACGGCAGTTAACAACAGTCCATGGTTCCAGTTCCAGGGGATCCAGTGCCCTCTTCTGGCCTCCATAGGCATTGTATTTGTATACATGCAGGCAAAACACTCATACACATAAAAGTAATTATATCAAAAAATTTAAGAAGGGGACTGGAGAAATAGCTCAGCAGTTAGGAGTACTGGCTGCTCTTGCAGTAGACCCGGGTTTGATTCCCAGCACTCACATGGTGGCTAACAACCATCTATAACTCTAGTTCCAGGGTATCCAATGCCCTCTTCTGAACTCGGAGGGCATTGCACAAAATGGGTGCACTTACACACATGCAGGCGATAATCTCAGACATGTAAAATAAAAAAAAATAATATATTTAAAATTTTTTTTTAAAGATTACAGAGTTAGGAATTTACCACAAAGAAATGACCATTACACAAAGCATATATTCTCAGCTGTTCCTTTGGGTAAAATGCTGTAGTAAAAAGTTTGATACAACTCAGAAGTTTAAATATAGGTTAGATAGATTATGGTTATCTATGTAATGGAATGTTAAGTTTCAGGCTAGAAGAAGATAATGAACTATTAGCAGTGGTATCTTTGGGAAAATGGGATTACAAGATAACTTAGATCCCTGCATTTAATTTTTTTTTTGGGGGGGGGTGTTATTTTGAGACAGGGTCTCCCTGTAGCCCCAGTTGGCCTTTTAACTCACTATGTAGACCAGGCTGGCCTCAAACTCACAGAGATCTGCCTGCCTCTGCCTCCCAAGTGCTGGGATTGAAGGTGTGCACCACCACACCCGGCCGCATTTTAATTTTTAAAAGTAAGAATTCCAGCATTGTAGGGTATGGTGGCCCATGCCTTTAATCCTAGCACTTGGGAGGCAGAGGCAGGCAGATTTGAGATCAAGGCCAGGCTGTTCCAGGACAGCTGGGGGTACAGGGAGACCCTGTCTCAAAAAAAACCAAAAAAAAAAAAAAAAAAAAAAAAAAAAAGAAAAAAAAGAAAAAAGAAAATGGTATATATACATTTTAATGAAAATCCAGCTCTCATTTTAGCTGCCAAAACTATACTACCAAATTAAGCCTCAGTCTCTACTTTCCCATTTATAGTACAACACAGGTTTTATATTCCTAATATATTCTGTCATTCTTATTTTTCCAGTTTATTGGAGACAGCATTTACTGTGGCCTGAACTGGTCTTATTATTGCCCCCTGTATAGTCTAGAGTCTAGACAGGCCTTGGACTTAAGTTTTTCTTGCCACAGCCTCTTAAAATGCCTGATTTACCCACACCAGAATTCTCTTATCTTGAAATTTCTCTGAGGAAGGGACATCAATGCTCTCAAGGTAGCAGGAACTACCTTGAAGCCCAAGAACACAGTAAAAGCCTATAATGGGCGAGTGAGATAGCTCAGCTGGGTAAAGGTGCTTGCCACCAAGCCTGGTGATCTGAGTTGAGTACCTGGAACTCACATGGTGGAAGGAGAGAACCAAGTCCCTCAAGTTATGCTCTGACCTCCATACATAAATCCTAGCATGTGTACATGCCCACGTACATACTAAACCAAATGAAATGAAAAAAAAATCTTTTTAATGCCTAAAATTTTTTGGATGCCTAAAATATTCCAAGTGTCTACTTATAGCCCTACTTCCATTCATGAATCCAGCCATTAGAATTGGCCTTCTTTTCTGTGTCAAATGGCTTGTGCCAAGAATGAATGGAGAGGGGCCTGGAGAGATGGCTCAGTGGTTAAGAGCACTGGCTACTCTTGCAGAGGACTCAGGTTTGATTCCCAGCACCCACATGGTGGCTAACAACTGTCTGTAACTCTAGTTCCAGGGGATCCAATACCCTCTTTTTTTGTTATTTTGCAGGAGGGTCAGGAATTCATTATCATTTTGGATACATAGTGAATTCCAGGTCACCTGGAGATAAATGAGATTCTGTGTCAAAAAAAGAAAATACATGAGTGAAAGTTTGTGTGCTGGCATTTGTCACTACCTTCCTGAGTGACCATGGGGAACCCGTAAAGCCAAGTTTCTTCATCTGTGACTACTAGTCCCTGTTAGGGGTTATTTGAAAAAATAAATAACATAGTATATGTGAATTACCTAGAATTTACTTGCTATAGTTATTCCTGCATCTTTCTCTGCTGAAATATAGGAATAAGATTTCCAACTTATTTTTACTAATATTTAGTGAGCATTCACTATATGATGATGGTCATTAAAATATTTACTTTTCTTGGCAGCTCTATGAAGTTATTCTCAGCTCTTGTTCTCTCCATTTTGCAGATGGGGAAACTGACGCTTTAACACTTGGCCAAGGTCACACACCTGGTAAGTGACAGAACTGAACTTGATGTGATTCCAAAGCCCACCAATGGCCAGTTATGTTGGTTACTGTCTCATGTACTTACTGGCTATTTATTACTAAATTCTTTGTGTAATTATTGAGTTGTAGGTATTTTTATATTTTGGTTGTGAGTCTTCCATCTGATATATACAGTCTGAATATTTTCTCAATGTTTTATGATGACTAGAACATTAAATTTTTTAGATCTAGTTTTTAAGTCATTTTATTATTGTGTTTTCACTAAGAAATCTTGGTCTAACCAAATTCTGTTTTCTACTGCAAACTATGATTTTAGGGCTACATTTATGTCTGTGGTTTGTCACAAATTAATTTTTTTTTTGGTCTTTTTTTTTTTGAGACAGGGTCTCCCTGTAGCCCCAGCTGACCTGGAACTTACTATGTAGGTCAGGCTGGCCTTGAACTCACAAAGATCCTCCTGCCTCTGCCTCCTGAGTGCTGGGATTAAAGGCGTGTACTACCATGCCCAGCACAAATTAATTTTTTATGTTAACAGTAGGAATCAAAGTGATTTTTATAGAAGATTTGTTTTTTTCTGGTTATCATTTGTCAAAGTCTTTCCTCATTGAATATTTTCATGTTTTTGTATGCCCGTTGATTCTTGTATTTTCTTTCATTAGTCTTTTAAATTCTTATTACAAATGCTACAATGTCTTGAGTACTATAAAAACTTTATAATTTTGAATCCAGGGCATATTCATCCTCCGCCTCCATTTTTTTCCACAGTTATTTTGGTTTATTTTTTTCTGATTTTTTGATTTTAGAATCAACTTATTTAAAAAGTAAAACAAAAATATTTCTGAGATTTTTATTGAATTGTACTAACCCTATCAGAAGAATTATCTCTCTCTTTTTTTTTTTTTTTTTTTTTTGTGGTGCTGGGGAGCAAACCCAGGCTCTTGTACATGCAAGTGCTCTATCACTGAATTATATCCTCCTTTCAAGAATTCTCATCTCCAGGTGAGAGATTGGCTCAGGGTTGGGAGCACTGGCTGCTCTTGTAAAGGACCCAGGGTACAGTTCCCAGCATCCATTTGATGACTAACAACCATCCATTACTCCAGTTCAGGGGATCCGACACATCTGGCCTCTGGGCATTGCACAACATGGGTATACATAATATACATGCAGGCAATACACTCACACACATCAAACAAACAAAAAACACAGAATAGTCATCTTAATAATAGCAAGTCTTCTAATCTGTTCATTTAGTCTATCTTTCTACTTAGTATCTTTATTTTTTTTTTATTAATGTTCTAAAAAGTTTAATGTTGAGATCTTGCTTTCCTTTAACCTTATTCCTAAGTATTTTGGTTTTTAATGCTATTATAAATAATACTGGTTTTAAAGTTTATTTTCCAACTGTTTATGGCTAGTGTATAGAATTGATACTTGTATATTGAATCTGTATGCTATGACATTGTTGAATTTGTTTGGTAGTTCTGTTAATAACTTAAAAATAAATCCTCCAGGACTTTTTTCGTGCACATCTTGTCAATAAAGATAGCTTTTTGCTTTCCTTTTTGATTATGATGTTTATTTCACTTGTTGCACTGGCTAAGACTCCCAATGTATTGCAGATAGAGATGGTAATGATGTTCTTTTCTTGTTCTTAACCTTTGTGGGAAACAGTTCAATTTCATTATCAAATATAATATTAATTTTATAGAGCTTTGTTCTATTAGTTTTCTCTTTTTTAAACTTTGTATTTATTTTTATTTTATGTGTATGAGTGTTTTGCCTGCATGTGTGTAAGTGTACCCGTGTCACCCGATGCTCGTGGAGGTTAGAAGAAGGACTGGAGTTGCAGATGATTGTCAGCTGCCATATGGGTGCCGGGAACTGAACCTGAATCTTCTGGAAGAGCAGCCTGTGCTTTTTTACCTCTGCAGCCCTCTCTCTAGCCCTTTAAATATTTTTAGTATCATTTGTTTGAGACAGAGGTTGTTTTGGGGTTTTTTTTTTTTTTTTTTTTTTGGAAGCAGGGTCTTATTATATAGCCCTGGCTGGCCTGAAATTCACTATCAGATCAAGCTGGCCTTGAATTCATAGAAATATGCTTGCCTCTCCTCCCAAGTACTGGCATTAAAGGTGTGTGTCACCATGCCCAGCCAAGACAGTTTTTCTATGCAGCCCAAGGTGGCCTGAAATACATCATGTACCTCAGGTTGGCTCTGAACTCATAATCTTCCTGTCTCTGCTTTTTTAGTGCTGGGATTGCAGGCATATACTGCCATTGCCATGTCTGGCTATCCGTGTGTGTGTGTGTGTGTGTGTGTGTGTATGTATGTGTGTGTATGTTTGCAATGTATATATGTAAATTCAGATGCTTATTGGCTGTTTTTATATCTGTGTCTTTTCAGAAGTGGTTATTCCAAGTTTTTTTACCTTTTTTAAAAATTATTTTTATTTTAATGTGTATGCATATATTGCCTGCATGTAGGTAAGTGCACCTGTGTTGTGCATGCCCGAGGAGGACAGAAGAGACTGTTGGATCCCCTGAAATTGGAGTTACAGACAGTTGTTAGCTGCCATGTGGGTGCTGGGATTCGAACCTGGGTCTTCTGTAAGAACAACCAGTGTTCTTTACTGCTGAGCCATCTCTCCAGCCCCAAGTTTTGTACTTTTTAAAAATTATCTTCTTTGGGGTTTCCATTTGTTTTAGTTATGTAGGGTTTTTTTTTTTTTTTCTTTTTTTTCTTTTTGAGACAGGGCCTCCCTGTAGCTCCAGCAGGCCTGGAATTCACTTTGTAGACCAGGATGGCCTCAAACTCACAGAGATCCACCTGCCTCTGTCTCCTGAGTGCTGGGATTACAGGCATGTGCCACCACACTTGGCCTAGTTATATAGGTCTTTTAAATTCTAGGTAACAGTGCTTTTTCAGATACGTGATTTGCAAGTTTGTTTGTTTTTTTTTCCCTCATTGTGAAGGTTGCCTTTTATTTTGTTGAGTATGTAAGTTAGCATGGCTTTAAAATTTTTTTTCATTTTCAGTTTTTGTATGTTTTTCATCAAACCCAGGACCTCATACATGCGAATCATTCCTTCAACCATTGACTTATACCCTGCCCTGGAATTTTTCTTTGGTATTGTCTAATTTACTTAATTAAAAAAAAGTTTCTATGTGTGTGAGTCTGCATGAGTTCATGTGTACCATGTATGTTCAGGAGCCCACAGAGGCCAAAAGAGACCTCTCTGGAGTTATAGGCAGTTGTGAGCCACCATGTGGATTCTTGGAACTGAACCTGGACCCCCTATAAGAGCAATAAGTGCTCTCAACCATTGAGCCATGTTTCCAGTCTCATAATTTACTTGTTTCATTCTTGTCGCCTGTGCTTTTGATATTATAGCCAAAAACCATTGCCCAAACTAATGTAATTATTATGGTTTGAATATGAAATGCCTCACAGCCCCATGTTGTATGCTTGGTCACAATTAAGATGTGACAGAAACAAAGGCCCAGAGACTATCCACTTCATGATGGAAAGGAAGCAGAGAGAAACATAAGGCCTGGAGACCAGGTAGAACCTTCAGAGTGCCCCTGCCGCCCCAAATGCTCTTCCTCCAGCTATGCCTTATCGTCTAAACTTTCCACCAACTCCCAAAATAGTGGCACCAGATGGGGAGCAAGTGTTCAGCCTGTGAACCTGTGGGGGACATTTCCTATTCAAACCATAATATTCTACTTCCCCAAAGCGCATGGTCATCTCATAAAGCTTTATCCTAGAGTCCCCCAAATCTTAACACTTCCAACACTGTTTAAGAATCTAAGTTCAGTTCTTTACTGAGACTCTAAGCAAACTCTTGGCTGAATGGCCTGGAATATCAAAAACAAGCTACCCACTTCCAAGATACATAGGGAATCACTTTTCTGCCCAGAAGAGAGGAATGGGGGAATAGAAAGAAGAAATGACTACAAAGCAAGAGAGGAACCAAACAGGGCAAATATTTAACTTGTATAGCTCTATATCTGGCATCTGAGTAGTGTATAAAAACTAAAGCATTTGGGCTGTCCCATCTCCCACTTCTTACAGATTTCAGCCTGCACAGTCTCTCTCTTGATTTGACTCTACCACTCACATCTTTTCATAGCAGTTGTTTCTTCTTAGCATCTCTAACTTCCTGGAATCTCCCATTGTGTCATTGGCTTCATTGTCAAACTTTTATGCATAAACCTCTCAGGGTTCCTGTGGGGACTCTGACCCTGCCACACATTGCCTGGCTTCCTAGGCTTTTTTTTTCGAAATCTGTGTGACAGCCCCCAAGACTCCACAATTCTTGGATTTTGCATACTTGCAAAACTAGCATCATGCGGACAGCACCCAAAGCTAGTGGCAGATGTTGGTGTTGCCCACATGATGCTGAACCCCTTGTATTACAGCTGTAGCAACCTATGAGTACCTGGATGGTTGGATCTACTTCCCTAGGCAGCCTTGTACCAGCTAGATTCCTGGGATTTTTCTTAAGGGAAGAGCTTTCAAATGAGTTAAAATTTTCATGTCTTTGAGCCTATAATGGGTAGAGTCTGGGCAATTTCTGTGATATCTTTAAGACATCTTTGGTAGTGTCCTCCTGCAAAGTATATGGTTTCTTTAGTGACTTTGACAGCCATGCATTTATTGCCTGCAGCTTTTAACATACCCTTCTGGGCCAGACTGTAAGGTTTTTTAAGCCTTTGACTCCACTCTTGCTCCAGATTCTCATTGTTAACCTGACTAAAAATAATTGTCTATAACTATGCCACAGCTTGAATTAGTCTGCTACCTTTACACTTAGAGTCCCACAAAGTCTCAGGACATGGACAGAATGTAAGCAAGCTCTTTGTCAGATGTAACATGAATGGCCTCTGGTCCAATTTCTAACAGAGTCCTCCATCCCATCCGATATCTCATGAGCATAGTCTTTCTTTCCCACATTTCAGCCTTATCTGAAACCTCATGAGCATAGACTTTACTGTTGCCA